TTATTTGGCCAGATACACATAAAGAAGCTATTGCATCCCTTCACCTTAGCACCTCATAAATCTGAATCAATGCCATTATTAACTGTGTTGAGATCTTTTAGCACCTACAGTATCACAACAGTTCTTACTAGTCTTTTATTCATATAAGCTGCTGCCAAGCAAGATTCTCAGCAAGAAATTTTCAATTTCTTTTAAAAACTTAATATGCAATTTTACATTACTGTCTGTTCTTATACATTTCATTTATTTCTATTGAAGTTTTTAGCTTTCTTTTTTAAAAACAGGACTTTATTTATTTATTTTTAGAAAGAAGGGGAGGGAGACAGAAAGAGAGGGAGAGAAAAATCAATGTATGTTTGCCTCTTGTGCACCCCCAACTAGGGATCTGGCCTGCAACCTAGGGCATGTGCCCTAGACTGGGAATCGAACCTGCTACTCTCTGGTTTGTAGGCCAGCACTCAATCCACTGAGCCATAGCAACTAAGTTAGCTTTCAAATATATTTCTTTTTTTTTTTTTTAAAGAGACTCCACCTTTATTTTTTTTAAAGATTTTATTTATCCATTTTTTAGAGAGGGAAGGGAGGGAGAGAGAGAGAGAGAGACATCAATGTGCGGTTGCTGGGGGCCATGGCCTGCAACCCAGGCATGTGCCCTCACTGGGAATCGAACCTGCAACACTTTGGTTCGCAGGCTGCACTCAATCCACTGAGCTACGCCAGCCAGGGCTCTAATATATTTCTGAACCCAATGTATTTGTCATCCTTCTAGCATTAGTTCTTTATGTTAAGCATGTTATTCTTCCTCTGGCTAAATCACTAAGTAAATAAATGTTCAATAAATAGAATGAGGCTAATGAAAGTATTCTTCTTTCTGTAATTCTGTTATGCTTCTATGTACTTCTTCAAAACCAGTTTCTCCTTTATGGATTTCCCCCTGATTTCTATGGCATATGTAGGACTGATCAGTTGTTTGTGAAGACTGTAAGACTTCTAGAGTTCAAAGGGACTTTCCAGGGCCACAGTCTTGCCCAATTCTCTCATTTACAAACAAAGAATCATTGGTAAAGTTTAGTCACATACCCTTGGCCACATGACAGTGGAGTATCTGAAAGTAGACTAAGGAATTCTAAATACAAATATATGATGTTGTTTCTATTACAGGTTTTTATTTAATTTTTATATATTATCTATTTATTCATTTTTATCTACATGAAATAAGAGAAATTGTTTTTATTATTTTTAATCTGAAATATATGTGCACTTTTTGTTGTCAAAGGTATTCTTGCTACCACACAAGAAGCACACATTATTTTCTCAACTTTATCAGTCCATGCAGGGAATAAGTGGGTGAATAGCCTGTCTCTACTCTGACAAGCTGAAAAGCAAAATAAATATAAATTTGGTTTGCTGCAGGTAGTGAGGAAAGGAATATTTTGGCTGCAAATCACAGATTTTGACCCTGAGCCTACAAATTTATTTGGGATTAACTATCAACTTTCTAAGACTCAATAGAGAGAATGATAATTTTATTATTATATTGATGGTATATATTGAATTACTATGTAAACAATATATTCTTTTTATACTATTTCTGGTTAATTTATAGTCAATATCACTTATGAACAAACTGAGATATGAAATCCTCTGTATTATTAATAAATAACCACCACCATCACCCTCCCCATCAGAATGTAAATTCTGTGAGTGTTAGTTTTTCATTCTATGATTTCTGCCTGGCTTGCAGTAGGCTCTCAATAAAAGTTTGCTGGTAATCAAATAAATAAGTTAATCAATAAAGTTGTTAAAAGGATCACTAACCAAAGAAGCAGATTTAAGAATGTTTATAACATCCCAAAACATAAACAAAAGACATATATTGCAGAAGGATTCACTTGGCTACTCAAGTTAATTAAATAAACAAGAGTCTTAATATTACAATTACAATTCTTTGTCAACAAAGTGCTTGCTCCTTTCTCTGAAATTTCAACAGGTTACTCTTTGTCTCTTTAGACTCGTTATACATCAGAGACGTCTACAACAATTCCTCTGTTTATTTTTCTGGAAAGATCAAGCAAATGTCCAAACACTAAATCAACTTCACTGTCATAAGATCATAAACAGGCCATCGGCAGATAGAAAGATCAGGCCCTTATGAATATTAGTATTACTTTAGGACCTGAACTCAAAAACAAGCCAAAGAATTTACTATTTTTTCAATGTTTACATTTTCTTTGCGTGCCGTTGCTCTCAGTACTCATTTCAAACTATCAAATTTCACATTTACCAAAAGAGCAATTTCTAGCAATCCTACATTGATTAAATTAAAACATTTCCTTTACTAGTGCTTTTATTAAATGTTACCATCTACATTGTTCCTCTAAAATCTAAATAGAAAGTACTAAAATAATACCATATTAATTCAAATGTTTAGGATGATGTTAAAATCTTGTTGAGAATAAAAGAATTTGCTCACCTAATCCTTTTTCCTTGTGTTTTTAACATCTTTACAATATATTTAAATCACTTTAAATGTCTATTCTAAGTACAAAGTTACTGAATTAGAACTGCATCAAACTGAAATCAATTTATATTCTTTTTCTATTTATTAAACAGTGATATTAAAACATTTTAAAACTATTTTACTAATCAAGTCAAAACTACTAATATTTGATGTATCACCAATCATTTATTTAGCTAATGTTCCATTAACAACATAAAGCACCAGCCTACATAAACCCCAACACGTTCTCTTCATACAGTTTTCCTTTAAATTACAAAAGTAAAAATGTTAATTTGAAAATTACAAGAAAACTATGAATTTAATAAACAAATTAACTTACTGAAAAAATCTTTAAAGACGTTTAACCAATCCATTTTGATATTTTCTTTTGTCAGTCTGTTACAGTCCAAGATAATTCTCAGTGAGCTTCCTGGTATGTTCTGCAACACTGAAACTCCCCACACCCTATCCATGTGACTTGGCCCACAACCAGGCAACAGGAAGATTTTCTGAGGCTCCTCTCTTTCCAAAATTCCCCCCTCCCCCGCCCCCGACTGTAACAGAACCTGTAAAACAAGTATATCATGATGGCCACAAAGGTGACCTTATTATTCACTCTTATTTTAGAAGAAGCTTTACATCATATATTTTCAACAACTGAAAATATATTCACATATTCATTTTTCCTTTGTTTTCTTTTCTCAACTTTCAAACAATGCCACTCCATCAGCACAATCATTGTGAAACAAATCCATTAATTATATGGTACATTTAAGTCACCAGAAAGGCGGTCAGAAATTCTGAGAGGAGAGAAGGCTGTTATGATGCAAAAGCTGGATTTACATCACTATACAGGCTAACTACAGATCACTAACTTAAAACAAATAATAAAAAATGTATGTAATTGGGCTTTAAAAATTGTATGCAGTAATACCTAAACCTGGGAAATTTTTCCTCTTTGCTCTATGGTATTAGTTTTTTCACTACCTTTTGTTAATTACTTTCACATTTGCTCTATTTCCAGGATACCAGCATACTTTAAAAAAAAAAAAAATGTCTATTTAGATGTGGTCCTAGTCCTTTCTGTGCCTTCATCACTATAAGGCATACTTTCTTCACAGAAGTTACCTTAATTATCCCAAATGCCTCTAATCAACATGCTTTAAATAAATGTCCAGTATTACAAATTAATGAGTATTCCTGGTTTTAACTCTGGTAATTTTTAGCTACTCAAGGAAAAGATCTTTCTGACTTGTCTTCCATTTTAAAACTAATAATAATGGTCTTATCTGCAAAACCTTAAAATCTCAAGAAAAGGTAACCTCACATACAGCACTTAAATGTCAAGATGAAAATTCAGATGAATAACTCCATGTATTAAATTACATTTAGAATACGAGGAATGTTTTTAGCTCAGAAATCAAGATTCTAATACTTTATATCCTATTTTGAATTGTACTATAAATTCTTGCTGTTTTACAGTGGTAAAAAATAGGTCTTCTATTGCTGATGAATGAAAGAACACTCTAGTCTAGAATAAAAATAATGTTAAATAAGAAATAAAAACTAAAATTAAGCAGTTAATTAATAATATTTTATATTTTTCAGTCATACTATATTACTCCCAAGCTATCGTCACAAGGAGAAATTTTACTTTCTCTTCCATTTATATACAAAGAACCATTAAGTAACAGAATGTTTGCATGCTTGTCTAAATACAAAAAAATAAAATTCTGACCCTCCCAATTCCTTCCTGTAAGCCAGGAGAATTTAATTAAAAAAGAAAAAAAAAGAGGCCACTCCTCATCTGGGCATATTTCCTTCCTATCAGCTCAGCCAAGTCAAATGTGGAGCAGGTTCCACTATTTCTGGCCCTAATGAGAGTTGTAAAAACAAACAAATGTTACAGTTAGAGAAGAAGAAATGAGAAAAAGAGAAACAAAATAGAAGAGAGATCAGCCTTATAAATGCTAATCTATAGTAGTGATCCACAATTTAAAATTCTTTTGTCAACTGTAAGAAAAACATGATTTGTTTTTAAAAGTGAAGTTCAAAATGTAAGCCAGTAGATGTTAAAATACAGCAATGTGCTGAGCAAAATAAACTGCCTTAATTTCAAGGAGGCAATTCTGCATCTCACTCATTTATCCCTCTCAATTAGGTGCAGAATTTGCCTCAACTCCACTGGGCACTCGTAGTTAAAGAGCCCCTGATAAATCCGTCCAATTCTGTTCCTTTGCACCACAACAGCTTGATCTTTGAATTCTGACCAGTCCCACCAGAGTTAGATATACAGAAACTGTCCACTAGCATGATGTTCCCTGGTCTCCTGACTTGAACACGTGCTATGAGCCAAACTTACCTTGTCTAGCTGAAATTCCAGTCCTAACCTTTTCTTGTCAATTCTGCCCACTGTTACCAAAATTCTGTACAAAGAACCAAACACTAATATCTGCTTAAAAGACAGTATTTTTGCTGTTTTAATACAAAAATAACTTACCTAAGGTATCCTTTAGGTTTTTTACAATAGATGCTTTCCGAGCACTGTTTTTCCTTTCCACATAGTTAGAAGGCACAAACCCCGTTTTATTCATGGAATTTCGAACTCGCCACCAAGACTTAGAATCATCCAGAAGCCATAATCTCTCATTCTTCTTAATGTCCAGCTCTTGTTCTTGTTGAGCCACATAATCAAATTTGGCTACTACCACCACTTCTTCTGCCATCTTTCAGTAGCTTCAGCACTGTAACGACATAGAAACTATTTTTATAAGGTTTTAGACTACATACTTTTCAAAAGAGATACATCTAAAAAACCTAAGAGTACAGAATGGTTAAAAGAAAAAATACGGGGAAAAAATACACCAGGCAAATACTAATCAAAACACAACTGGTGTAGCTGTAATAATAACACACAAAAAGACTTTAAGGCAAAACCATCACTAATGATAAAGACGTTTACCATAAATGATAAAAAGTTTTACTCAATGTCTATAACATCTAATTTTATATGTATGTATTGACATAGCTAAAAATAGATTGCTAGAACCACAAAGAAAAATGGACATCAACTGCCCCAGAGCACAAATTTAAACATCTTTATCTCAGTAATAAATCAAGAAGACAATAAAAATTAACAAAGCTAAAAGAGAATTGACATTACAAACCATCTGTTTGATCAATAAACATACAAAAATTTTACTTCCCAACAGAAGAATACAGACATATATAAAAATCCATCAAATGTTAGGCCATAAAAAAGGTCTCAGCAACTTTCATGTATTCAATATCCTACAACCACATTCTCTGACAACCTCCACAAAAAGATAACTCTTTAAAAACCTCGTTTGTCTGGCCCTGGCTCATGTGGCTCAGTGGATTGAACAGCAGACTGCGCAGTTTAGGGTTGTCGGGTTCGATTCTCAGTTAAGGCACATGCCTGGGTTGCAGGCCAGGTCCCCAGCAGGGCCCACATCAGTGGCAACCACACACTGATGTTTCTCTCTCTCCCTTACCTTCTCTCTAAAAATAAATAAAATTGAAAAAAACTCGTATGTTTTGGAAATTTCTAAAAACTCATGAGTAAAAAAATAAGTAACGGAATTTTAAAAATCTTCAAAGTAAAATAATAGAGACTATAGAGCCAACCTGTGGGGTGCAGCAAAAGAAGTATACAGAGTAGGGCAAATGCAGGTTTACAGTTGAGAGTACGTTCATGTACACACACACTATGTATACTGTCTGGACCTTGCTTTCTCAGTTTAATAGTATATCATGAAGATCATTCCACAGAAGTGTCTGAGGGTTCTTTTCTAATACAATTACTATTTCTAAGAAATGCACAGTACTTCATCAGTAAAGAAGTATCAGTTTCCTCAAGCAGACCTTAGGGATGGATGATGGGTTGTTTTCAATCTTATGGTATTAAACAATGCAATGAATAGTCTCATGTATGTCATTTAAGCTTTCTTTTAGTGTACCTTTGCATTAAAGTTAGAAGAACACTGAGCTGAAGCTTAAGGTTTATATAATTTTGTGAAATATTGCTAAATCCCTATCCAGAGACTCTTTATCCCTTTCTATTCTCAATATGAGTGATTATTTCCTCATAGCCCTATCAACAAACTATGTTGTTGATCTTTTGGATTTTTGCCAACTGGATAGGTAAAAAAGGTATTTTGAAGTAGTTTTTCTTTGTATGTCTCTATTACAATGAGATTGAGCATTGTTTCCCAAACTTAAGGGACATTTGCATTTGTTTTCACCTGTGGATTACTTGTTCATTTTCTTAAGGTGTGGCTTTTCTTTTTCATTTCTTACAAGCTCTTTCTATAGTAAGAATAGTTTGGCCATTGATATAAATTGCAAAATTTTCCAGTTTGTCAATTGTCTTTTTAACTTCACTATTAAATTTTTTAGGTACAAAAATTTTGAAGAATTTGGCAATAGAGTTGTCAAAATTTTAAATGCACATTTCTTGCAACCAACAATCTACATACTAGAGGAAAAAATGATGCAAATACCCAACATCACATGTATAAGAATGTTTGCTGCAGTACTGCTAATACTTGTGAAAAATCAGGAATGATATATATACCAAGAGTGTCTAAATTCTAAGTACCAATATGGTAAAATGTCTAAGATATATTAAGCAAAAATGCAAATTCCAAAAAAATGTGCTAAGTATGATTTTATTTTGGAAAAAATCCTATTACATATGTGCATTAAAAAGCTCTAGGGGGATATATAATAAACTGTAATCACAATAAGTAGTAAGATTCATAAAAAAAACTTTCAGTCTCTATTCCATATACATGTGTGGTTTGAGTATTTTACAACAGGTACATATTACTTAAATTTTTTAAAATGTACTATAAGAGAGAAAACCAACTTAAAGCTAGCCAATGGAACTCTCATCTGAACACAAAGTATGAAACATGGTGAGGAAATATGCAGAAGGTATGAGGGAAAAAGAAATGTGAGAAAAGTAAGCAGGTGTAAAACTAAATCTGCTTCACAGAAGAATCACAATTAGAACCTAAACAATCAGAACATAAAAAACAAATAAAGCACTTACACTTTAACTTTGATGACCATTTCTTCAGTTAGTTACCAGATAAAGGAGTTAATTTGAACTTATAGAATTCAAATAGTAGGGAAAACCATGTATCTTTAAACCAAGATACAAAGTGAAATGGCATGCTTAAACTACAAGAAGGACAGCAACTGAGGTCAACTGAGAGAACAAAGAATGGTTCCCATCTCTTGCCGACTCTGGAGCAGATGCTTACAATAGAACGATGGGTGGAAACATTTGCATTGTATTAACAGACATTTTTCTCTGGCCTTCTTTGAGCCACACTTAGTTCAAATTATATAAATTAAATGTGAAGTGATTTCACTACCCTTTGATGCAGCCATGATTGTAAAGGCTGTCAATTAATATGCTATATTCTCCTACAAAAGCTTCAGCTCCATGTTCCCAACTCTACTCATGATATTTGCACTTGGATACTCCTGGCTCCTATGCCTGCTTTCAGGAACTGGATTCCTGTCCTTTTGTTTTTGGGTCCTTGTACCTGGCAACGAAACCCAAGACCCTTATCACAACCAGTGTCCAATTCCTGCTTGACATCAGAGTTGGATTTCCTTTATAGAATCTGAACTATTTTGTTCCTCACTGACTGCTGCCCAGCTCTGATTATACAAAAATCATGGACCTCGAATTTGACATTAATCTCAGTTTACAGTACTCATAACTGGCTTGCCTTTTCTTCCTGGGCCTATTTTTTTATCTCTGTTTTTCTAGTTCACCTCCAACCTCATTCCCAAAATGAACCCATACACACTCACTGATCATATGCTTGGCCTTTCCTCATCTGGTTATCCTAACAATAGGACCAAACTAGAATTAAATATAACTCGATTATTTCACTGTCACTAAGGACAATATGGAGCTTACTGTTCTAGATATCTTCATAAATGTGCTATACTATTATTTATTGGAAAGGAATCAGAAGATTGAGTTGGAGAACACCTACTAGCTTAAGAGCAGAGGATTTTACACCCTCACAAAGGCTAGGAGTTGCTAAAGATTTGCAACTTTACACCAAAGAAATGGTCACTAAACTCCCATAACTCAGGTATTATCCTAGCATTTCCCTCTCAATAATCCTTTAAACTTGAAAAAGTATTATCCTGACTTTACCAAGTATCACACAGACACTAAGGAGTTTTACCAACCCTGAAAAACAAGTGGGGGTAACTGGGAGTTCAAATGGAAGTCAAATGCATGTTCTTTGCACTTCCCCAGAATTCATGTACTGGTGATTACCATGCTGTCTTTTAAAAAGAGAACAGAAAAAGAGTATACATGTAATAAATGCATGTAAACCAATTACCTACTAAATGAGAAATTCTCCAACTATTTGGTCTCAAAACCCCTTTACATACTTACATATAAATTGAAAACCCAAAGAGCTTTTGCTTATGTCAGTTATATCTACTAATATTTACTACATTAAAAATTAAAAAAGAGAAATGTCAGGATATTTTAAAATTCAATTAAATATGACCATATTTAATCTAATACATTTAAAATATTTTTATAAAAATTATATTTTCCACATCAAAAACAGTAGTTAAAAGAGTGGCATTATTTTACACCTTGGCAAATTGTTTAAATGTCTGTCTTAACAGAAGACATGGATTTTCATATCTGTTTCTGCATTTAATGTGTTATCAACATACTGCTTTGGTTAAAAAGAAAAAAGGAAGAATATTTTAAGTCTTTTCAGATAACTGTGGATATTCATTTTTGGTACTACACCAAAACTTGACAAGTGAGAGTTTCTTAATATAGTTTCTAATGTGGAATCTAAAACTATATGAATGAACTTTTCCTGTATTAAGATTCATTGGTCTAGTATTTTTTAATTCCAGGAAAAGATCGGTGTGGGCCCACTACAACCTGCCTGTCCAATGGATTACAACTAAAATCTTCAGAAAAGCTAAAAAGAATCAGATACCTGAGGACTCTGAAAATGAAATAACAGCAAGCAGATTAGGGAGGGAAATCAGTGGGAAAAAAGACCAATACAGTGATGGTAAATTTCCTATTGGTTCCCCTATGCTTTATTTCCTGGCTTTGGTCCAAAGACAGGCAGACAGGGGAATTGGATAATAGGCAGAGCTGGAGAAAAAACAGGAGAATCTGGTCAAAAGACAGGAAAATTCTCTGGTGGGTTTTCCCCACCTCTCCCGGCCCTGTCCTCCCAGCACCAGCCTTAGCTATGGATCTGCACTGCTGACACAATGGTGGAGTACACACACTTTAAGACCCCAAGAGAAAACCTATTTTTCTGGATACAGGAAGAAGAAGGAGGAACCAGGTGGCACAAAGAATATGGGGGAAATACACTATTTTTCTTCACTATTCACTCACCATTTTACCATTAAGGCAGGCAGTCATGCCCAGAACTGAGAAACAACATGAAAGACTGAAACTCTAATAAAAGAACCCAATGTTCCTGGCCAGAAAAACTAGAAAGAGAGATTACTGGGAATTGGAAAATATGGATAAAATTCCCATGACAAAAGAGTTAGAGAAAGTAATCTATGACAAAGACTCTCTCTTTGACCATTCTGTAGTCAGGCTCCTCTGAGCCCTCTTCTTGACACAGCCTATAAAACTGTAGATTCTCTCCCTGACCAGTGTGGCTGAGTTAGTTGGAGCATAGTCCCA